TCAGAGAAACTGAAAAAGGGAGAAAAACTCACTAACATCATACCTGTAAGGATTTGAGTGGCAACACTTAAGAGCATGCAACTGCAACTTCATGCATGAGCAACTGGTTCCATTGTAATAGACTCATTTATTTTGCAAATACAATCAGAAAATAAGGACAATATGAATGCAGCCCTGCTTGCATATATATTTTTTCCTTTCAGTTTGTTATGCTATTACCTTCTTTATGTTCATCTAAAAATACCAGATGATATTTTGAACACCCCTTAATTTTATAGCTCAATTCTTTCACAACAACAGATTGAAGAGAAAGGAAAGGAGTTAGAATAGCTCCTTCGAAACATAGGCATGGAAAGCGCTTGTCACTGTTCCAATCACTTTTCCATGTTTGCTGTTCCCTTGACAAAACAATGCTTAGAGTCATATCTATGAGGAAGAAAACTGCAAGCACAATGGAACAACGTCCTTTGCTGTAAAACAAAACAAAAAAAACCCTGTAATACGAAAAAGCAAAATCACTTTTGAGAGGTTTTCCACATACTTAGCACAACAATGAGGCTAAAACTGTTAAACTGTTCTGTTTTTTCCCCCCCAATAACCCTAGAAAATGATAGAACAAAGAATGTAAATAAGGGAGGTAACAAACATACATCAAAACATATTGCAAAGAAGTATAGTTTCTGTTAGCTTACCCACAGAGGCAGCTATGTGAACACAGCATACAGCTTTCTTAGGAAACAAAGTGTAGAACCGTCCTCTGCACTGCATCTTTTCAAGATGCTTTAGCAGTGGCACAGTACTTGGTGAAAGCATTAACAGGACCCAGAAAAAGCGATCATAACCTAGCCACGATTTTGCTATAAGTACTGGTATTTCCGGTCTGAACGTATTCTGCTGACATTCAAGCAACAGATTCCTTGTGACCTTATAAGAGGAACCTTCATATAGTAAGTCATGTGGCTAGACAGCATTCAGAAACAAAAATACAGGTGTAACATGGTACTACATATTAGCAACAGTAGCTGAGTCAGAAAGGACAAAAAGTTGATTGTCATCTTGCTGCTATAAAACTACAGAAACTTGGTAGGAAAAGGAAGAAGAGGCAAACAGCTCTAGAGTCAAGTTAAGGCACCTGAGCATAGTGCTTTATCCACTCCCTCTCTACCTGATGCAACTGGCACCTTAAAGTGCTGTTGATACCTGTTCTGACAACAGGAACCGTAATCAAGCAGCTATACTTATAATCACGAATTTGCTAGACCCCTGTTTCTAGCTGCATCTGGGACTGGCCAGAAGCCAAACAGTCTGCAAATATACTATAAAGCCTTTAAGACAAAATAGGGGACTAAAGTCTGGCAGAAACACCAGTTTATCCCGAAGAGGAAGCAGTGTTTGAAACACAAATAGCCCCATACAATCAAAAACAAAACGACAACCAAATAAAACAAGAAGCAAACACAGAGCACGCTACGTCGGTTAGGAACACCCCACCTGGACAGTATGCACATCCTTCTTCTACCGGCATAAATAACAGAGGTGGGAAGAAGTTAACTGCACATCTTAACAGGAAAAGTCTGTCAGAAAAAATAAGTAGAGCCAGGTAGTTGAGAGCAGTTTTGATCTTTCCTGGTATACAAAGACACACACACCAGAGGCATATACCAACATCCAAGGCAAAAAAAAGCAAGCAGCTTAAGTTCCTGCACTGAGAGCGCTTTCAGTATGAACAAACACCAGCAGAGAAAAGATTCCTAATTCAAAAGCTGAATACTGCTTCTGCAGAAGCTATCCACAGCTGGCTCCATGCTACAAAGGTTTAAATTTGCCTGTTTACCCTGCGACCACGTTTTCCAAATTGAAAAAGGCAAAGGGCATGAAGTCCCAACTACCATGGTCAACCTGCAGGTTAAGTGTCCCTTCCTTTCTTCTCAGCAGAGAGCAGTGCCCTCCTGAAAGGCAACAGGCAGCTGCCTCTCCCAGCTCAGCTTCGGCCACTAACAATTCAATCGCATTTTTCAGAAGAGTTTAGTTTTGAAGTTTCATTTTCCCATAGTAAATATACCCATATACTCATATATATGTCCCATATGTGTTATGTCTAACCACATACATTACAGACAACTTCAAAATAGCTGGCAGTAGAGTGCTGAATTATATCAAAAATATAGCCTCTAAACACAATGAACTTAAGAAAATGGATACAACAAACAAGCCTATTAATATTTTTTCTGCATAAGGACATAATCATTCCTTTTAATTTTAAGTCTAAGTAAAAGGATTGCTATTGAAAATACATTAAGATTTAAAATGACTGAAGGAAATATTATTAATTTTTCATTTTCTTTTTTTTTAAAAAAAGAAACAGAAACATATCATATTATTTCTTATATGAAACTCTTCCCAGAACTTACAGCAAAAAGCTGCCTTTTGTTGAAGAATATAGATGGAACAGAAATGCTCTGGAATGTTTAAATACTTCTAAAAAACAGCATGTATATAGTAGGATTTACCAGAGGTGTATAATTTTTCAGCATTACGTCCTAATGCCAACTTCCTGAAGGAGCTTTGACTACAAAAGGCATGAATATGTTTTCAAAGGATGATGGATAAATTGGTGGGTGGAAATATAATATATCTTAGGCAGCTGATCTGGGCTTTTTATCCTCTACTTGTCTTTTAGTTATACACAATTTCAAGATAATTATGGTCTATAAGATTGTCTTTTCCCCTTCCTACTACCAGCAATATTTGTCTTGGTTACAGGTTCAAGAAACTTCAAATCACATGATAAAATTAGAATAGGGCAATTATGGCATCTCAGCAGAGAAATGAATGTATAAATAGAGTGACCACACAATGGGGACATAAGGTAGTTTAAAACTGTCTTTAAGTATAATAATAGTTAATTACAATACTAGCTATAGAATATATTGATTCCATGTCTTTTTTTTTTAAGAAAAAGTATACATTAAAAAATCATTCAAGGTTGATATAGACTAAATGATACTACCTTTATAATAAAGAACACAGTCTAGACAAGTATTGACAAGAAATTAATTCATATTCACACTAACACAATGGTATTCAAAGGTCAGACTTAGTGGATATATCTAAATTGTGAGCAGCAATTTTTTTTTTTTTTTTTTATCACAGGAGACCCTTTCTTGATTAAGTGCTTGAAGGTCCTCTCTTAAAAGTAAGGCAGTCTTGGATCTACATATGTGCTTTGGAGATCTATGCCCAAAGCCAGTTTCAGGTCAACTTCCAGGCGAAGCAATAGTGTTCTTTAGAAAAGACCCTATTTGCTTTTCTAAAGGTGCCCAAGCTTCCAAGCGTGAAACCACATATTTTTCTACATTGATGTTAAACATACTACAGGCTCTCACCAAAACAAGATAGTTTCAAGATAACAATATAAACAGGAGAAATTAACTTTATTGTATCTTTCCTGTTAAGCAGAGAAGCAGTAAACAATCAAGGTAAGAGCTGAAAAGCACAGTACTGTTGGATACACGAACACACAAACTGAGGAAGAAATCAAGACAAAATTATATTCTCTCAACTTTCCTGAGGTAATATTATGCTTTTATAACCTTTTAGTAACACCAATATTCCTCTGTTACAACAGAGGAATGCAGTATGCTCACCTATTGGCTACCCCTAAAAATAAGAGAAACAATCAAAATTAGATATAACGATATAGAAAGGACGGAGCTATGTAATGTCTGTTCATTAACTTGTAAAATCATAATCAACAGGAGCTTGAAAAAATATGCCATACTATGAGCCATTAAGTCTAAGATGAATGAAAGCAGAATAAAATGCATGTTAGTCATTTTTAGGTATTTAAATAGAAGACAATAAAAATATTCCTCTGGATAATTTAATTTTGTTGGGGAAAATAACTGAAATGACCTGGCATTGTACAGTCAATGACTTGATTATCACCTATTTTAAAACTAACCTTTTAAAAAAACATATATTTTTGTGCTTACCATATCTCACAAATTCTGACATATTTATTTAGGCTATATTCTAAAACAAATGATAAAAATTACATCCTTAGATAAATCGTCATTATGTCTAAGATTATTATAGAAATTATTAGATTTGTCATAACCACAGTTGAATCTTTTCATTCAGAACACACTTTTTTGCCAAATACTTAAGATAATACTAAATAGACAAGGCACAGAATCTAGCATCACTAGGTTTAAAAAAAATAAAATAAATAATTTCTTCCAGAAACACAGTGTCTCTGAAGACTCTTAAGCAAATAAGCAGACTTCACTTGATGCAGAAGTAATCAGTAAATTATATGCTACTTTTGATATTAGAAAAAAGCAGCCTTAGAAAGACATAAAATATTTAATGAAGTTTGGTAAGATTATCCTTACACTTCAGCATTTTTTCGCAGTGTTGATCAGGCTTTTTCTCCCTTAAAATTGTTTCCTTATAATGGAAGCTATCAGTGTTTGATTAGAAGCTTGCTGAAGTTTCAGAGGAGCCTTTCTACATGGCCTATTTCATTTTGGCAGTCAGAATGAAAAGTTCATGTAAAGCAAGTTATACTTAAAGACTTCAAATTTAATTCTTCATTCCTATAGCTAGCTACAAGGAATATACACACAAACTAAATTATTCCCCCCTCCAGTATATTAAAAACATTTTAGCTACTCTTTTCTATAGGTAGATGGAAAACAAACAGCTTTAATCAAACCATCCAACTTAGCCATCCAACCTGCCTGGATTCTTTTTATAATGGAAATGAAGGATAAGTTGGCTTCTACTCCGATGTCCCTAGGGACATCACTGTCTACACAGGGAGACTAAATATAATCCCCAAATTTGGCTAATGTAAATACTCCTGCACTTCCCAGTATATTCTTGTGAATCACCAAGATAACCCACTTATTACTATACAACATATATATCTTAAAATGTATTTAAATTATTTAAGAGATTACAGCTTTACTTGTCAAAAATTTATTAGTCTTTACCTTTAAGATGTTGGCAGGAAGTTCTTTTGCAGAAGCAACAAACAAGTCATGTCCACAAACAACTCCCTCTGCGAGAAAATACTTGAACAATAAATGGGAGTAGACCCCGTATATATCTTCCTCTGTGGAAACAAGAATGGTTGGATTTTTGTTTTAATGAGTTAAAACACTTACATGAATTTTCACAACAGAAAAGCCATCTTAAAGCCCTCATAAAAGCCCTCTTTCCAGGCACCTCCTCATCAACTACGTAATGCAAAGCATAGATAATGGTTAAACAATACAGATTTAAATGTAATGCTCAATAATATTGCATTCGTGCTCTTTCAAGACAGAGAAATAGCTTTCAATCATGTATCATTTCTAAGACACAGAGAGGCTGCAGACCCAAGGTAGCAATAATGTCACCTTCAATAACAAGGTTTATCCACAGTATCAACCAAGACTACCAAATATCATGACTCAATAGGAAGTTTTGTTCATTTGAGAGAATTGTGTTACAATTTAATTATTAATGTTTAAAATAGTAATTGACTGAATTAAAATATCTACCAACTCATTTTTTAATCTAATTAAGTAAAACAAAGGATTTATTAAAGCTTTCCTTTTCATTAAGCTCAAGAAAAAAATTGTACTCCCTTTAGGAGACAACCAAAATACAAATGTTTGAAAAAATAAATCCACTAAAAGTGACTCTGAAGTAATATTTTGAGATTGAGACAGCTATTGTGATCGGGAAGAAATGAATCACAAGACAGTAGCTAAAACAGAAGGTGACAGAGAACTTGATACCCAAATAAGCCCAAGGGAACACAACGACTGCAATGCCAGTACTAGTCTTCGATGTGTCCAGCTTCTTGTAGAGACTGAGAGTTTAAAAGTTCAGACTGTACCATAACTTACCCTTGTTGGGTTAGCTTTTTGAGAAGGCCATGTTAGCTTTCTAATGTGCCTCCAATATATGATAACTTAAAAGGAAAAAATCTAGTGAAAAATACGGAAAGTAACCAGTGTAGTGAAAATTGTGTAGACAAATGCTACCCTTGGCAGAGTTGGGTTCTTAAAGTTTCAGCAAGATAGATTTTGAAAAGCAGTACAGAGTCTCCTTGAAAGTTAAGTGCCCTTAAGTAAACCTTGTATATAATTTACTCCAGTAAGCATATAAAGGCATTAATATTATTTGAAAAATATTGTTTTCCTAGTAAGCCAGCTCCATGGTGTAGTGCCTGTGTATGCAGAACCAGGTATATGACTAGGTGGAGAGCACTTCTCCCTCAGCCAGAGTCCAGGAACACGCAAACTTCTCCCCCCGCACCACCCTTGCCCAGATGTTGTCTCTTCCATTATGTATGCTTTTGTTGCTTATTGCAATATAACTCATTATGCAGTATATTGACTTCCATGTGCTAATCTCCACCTATGAAGCTCTCAGTCTAAGAGCAAAGCTCCTTAGAAATCAAAGTGACAGCATGATAGCTACTTATTAAAAAAGAGAGAAGTCTGAGCTACCTGAAAGAAGTCATCAAGCCTCCCATATAATCACATCACTGCAGCAGATGTCAATGGAGGTGATACAGTTAGACCTCCTTCCCTTTGTGCAAAAGGGGGAATGGAACACTAGGAAGGCATTCTGGAAGGATCCTCAGCCACATTTACTTCATCCTTGAGGAAGCAAAAACCTGGATTCATTAATTTTCACTTACAAATTATAATCCACTTTTTTCATAATTTGGGATACAAACACTGAGTGGGACTGATCTGAACAAGACCAGGATTTAACTCACATTTAATGAGGTTACAGCTCAGTATCACATTTTGCCCAGCTAGTTTTTTTACACACACCATTGTATGACTGCGTAGACATACAAAGAGTATCTTTCCTGCATCATAATTTTTAGTATTAATTATTCCTTTGACAGTGAACAATATGCCCAGTTTTGTGCAAAACAGCACTATAAGGCTATTAATAAAATATAAATAGTAAGAAATATACTGTGCATTATGATCATGTAATTAAACTAACAGGAACTGAGGCTGTTAGGTGGGTTAGGAATTTTTATTCAAATTATTTGAAATACTGAAATGTTAAAAAACTATAGAATTGAGAAACAAGAAACAGTGGTATAAAATCCACTTCACCCACCTATCCAAGATTATATTGGCAACAGATATATAGCACTATTGTAACTGAGGACTAAAGATGTTCTAATTCTGCTGCATTCCTCCAAAAACACATTTTAAAAAACAGTAAGGAATTTTGAATTTTGGTAAAGAAAAAGAACATTTACCAGTGCTTGAAAACAATTTTTTGTTTGAGTAAGCCTTTCCTTTAGTCTTCTTGCATTGATTTTCATAACAGTAAATTTAAAGAAAAAACTCTTGGAGAGCAATCTAAATATAAGACACCTCTTAGACTGCTACAGTACTCAAAGAATTAAATGTGTCTCAGAAAAGGCTTTACAAACAATGTATCTTGAATTGTTAAAGTCAATGCATCTGTAAGAATCCCTCAGTTCTTCAATTTGTCACATAGAGGATGGCCTTTTATTGATTCATTTCTAGGTCACTAAACTTTTGTAGTATTCTAAAGATCTAAAGTGCACCCATATGGGGCTTTTCTGATAATGTCCATTGTACCCTGGCTTCAACGGTTACGTTACTATTCAAAGCCACAGGAGTACAGCTTTCCTTTTTGTAAATAAATCATATTCCAATAACTTACCATTACTTTCATAGATAAATCAAAGTATTTTGAAGTATTTTTGTTTTCTGATAACTTTGAATTTATTTTAGTGCTTAAGAAATTCTCACTTATCGTTCCTGTAATGAATTCCAAAATATAGCTACGCTGAAAGCTAGGAATAAAGACCTATTCCTAATGCAGCCTCTCCACACCCCTGTGTTCTATAGGCTGCTGGATGCATAAGAGACCTCTTAATACCTTTGTGCTTGAATTGTCCAGCAGCACCACTGACAGAAATCAACAAGTCATGAAGTTAAATACAAAGTTTTAAGACACTACAGTTCAGCTAGAGCCAAGACACCAGATACAAGTGAGTGTGCCTTCTATATAAAGGGCACAATTCTCATGGAGTCATGGAAATTTAGGTCTAAACATAAGTCTTAAGAATGAAAGAACCTCTAACCATAACTGCTCCCCCATGCACCAGAGGTATTTGCCCTTCCGAGGGAGGGATGTGGGAAGAAAAACACAAACCTGAAAAGGAACAACAGCTCAGGAACAAAACTGACCAAAAAGTAATAAATATGCATCAATTATTTATATCTATATATAAAGGTGTTCTAAATATCTGGTTAATATTAAATATTATGCAGGCTGAAAAACTCCAGAGGTAAGTTGTAAAATAATTATTTAAAATTATGAGAGCCACAGGAGGAAGAGATAAAACTGCAACAATATACTGTGTAGATTTCCTTCTGTACAAGCTCTAGCCAGGTTGCCCTAAAGCTGCCAAAAGCCTGTCGTAGCCTATGAGTATTGATGGATATTTTGCAAGATAGTTCTATAGCATAAACCTGTGACCTAAGGTGAGTCTTTCTTAAGCTATGAAGATTCTCCATAAACTGCTGTAGGTTAAAAATGTGATTATTTTAATAATCTGAAATTCCAGTTATAAGATACTTACTAATGTCCGCATTTACTAAGCTTGAGGGAATTCAGTCTGTGTCACTTGCATTTAATTAGTACATGCCCAGAGTTGTCAAACATATATGGTACAATATTTGGCATTTGGCCATACTTCAGGAAGGTGAATTCTGATAAATATAATTATACAAAATACAACTTAACAAATCACTGTTTTGTACCTTTCCAGAGGTTACCTTTTTCAACTTTAAGATGATGATCAAGTCAATTACATTGACATGCAAAGAGAGCTCTTATCAGTCAGGTTAAATTGCACTTCTAGCAAAAATAATAGTAGCTAATTAAAGTAGCTGAAACAGCTTCGAGGCTTTGAGTATACAAGTATAGGCAAGCTTTTAACCAAGCAAGTTTTACTTTCTATGATTGACCTCAGCTACTAATGAAAACCCTCTTACTGATAACCTTTGCAACTTTCAGCCAAAGAACAGCACCTTAAAGGCATATGAGAATAGAGACCCAACACAGAGCTTCCTGCAAGCAGCTACACAGAATGTATTTCACAAACATGGCCTATTTTTATAGAACACAGAAACATTATTCTAGAAATTCCTCCTGAAGTTGGCAAAACAGACATGCAAGTGTGTTTAAGTATGCTGCAAGCAGGCCGGGGGGAAAAGTGGGCTTAATTGACAGCTTGAGGTTTTTTTTTTTTTTTTTTTAAATGAAAGAGGAGATTCTTCTGGCAAACTCATCTGCTGGAAGAGTTCAGATGAAGCAAACATTCATATTTATGTTCCATAAACTATTTCAACAGTGTTACTAAAATCTCATTTCAGAAATTAAGGAAAAAATTTTTGACAGTGAGGGTGACAGAGCCCTGGAACAGGCTGCCCAGAGAGGTTGTGGAGTCTCCTTCTGTGGAGATCTTCAAAACCCGCTTGGATGCCACCCTGTGCCACATGCTCTAGGTAATTCTGTGTGTGCAGGGGGGTTGGACTAGATGACCTGTGGAGGTCTCTTCCAACCTTGAGCGTTCTATGATTCTATGAAGTGTGAATGTTAGCTTCACTTTTTTTAAACCAGGATAGCAATACCTCTTGAAAGTACAAGTAAAAAAATCTTTGTGTATCACAAATAAAACACTGCCAGAAGAGAATATTATACAATGAAATTCATTGGAAATCATGATGCCTTTTATTACAGATTAAAATTCAAAGTTTGTGTACAATATACTTCAAACACTATTTTACAGTGTTAGCAAGGAACCTATACCATTACTGCATCTCCAGAAAATAACAGTTAAAACTAAATATTTTAATGCTTTGTATTTACTACCATTGGCAAAATTAACCAAGATAACATGTCAAATAATGAAGACGATCATTAAATTCACAAGGGAAGCTAATCTAAATTTATTCTTGACTTAGGGAATGTTGAAAGGAGGGGAAAGAATTTAACCTTTTTCCAACACTTTGAGTATAAAGCACAAAGATCTTCCTAGGAGGTTTATCGTTGACAGCTTCAATCCTCTTTAATATTAACCTTGTCGAGACTAATCTCATGACAGAATTTAGCATATTGACAGATATTCTAACAATGCAGTTAAAATTCTACCTGCCCTGACTTTAAAGATTAGTCTAAAAAGTTTTCAGACTAGTGAGTCATGAATAAATATAGCTCTTGCTTAAGACCTTTTGTATCAAATTATATGTTTCAAAATAACATATGGAAAGCTTAATTTTGGGGAAAAAAATACTAGCTTTGCATCAACAAAGATTCTCTGCCATGTTTCCAGAAGCTGAATTTATTACCAAATCACAAACATATATATTTCTTTTGAATATAAAATTATTTGTGTATTTGTGTCATCGCACATCTTAGTGTAAGAAAATTCCATGCCCCTTCCAAAATGTCTGAGACTTACAAAACACTAAGTCGTACATCTTTTGATATTATGAAAGATCTGATTAATAATATTGGTTTATTTTAATTTATTCTGAAGAGGATAATGACAAAGGAATAGCCAGATACTTACTTTCTTGCAAATTGCTACATCTCAATTTAAATAGAAAGAAAAGCTGGGGATCTCTGCTACAAAGGGAATGTGATATAGCCCATCAAAAACCTCTGCCAGACAGTTCTGATGCAGTCTGTGACGGGAATTCTTGTGTGACTTATTTAACCATCTCAGCCTGCCTCCCCCATATCAGACAGAAAGCCCATTTCTACCAGTTTTTTCTTAACCAATTCTGGAAACAAGAGAGTAAAGGACTCCACATTTCACATCCTTCTAAGCCATTAAAAAAAAATCTGTAATGATAAACAGAAGTTGACAAGAAACAGTCATTTAGAAAAACCTTAAATCTTTCTAAAACACCTGTAAAAGGTCCTGAACTTCGTCAAGCATCCTGCTTTCAGACAGAACTCTGCAGTATTCTTGGGGGCACCTCAATCCTCTCTAATAGTAGATCCACCTCCAGTAACTCTTGAAATAGAGAATATCCAAACTGAGAAAGCCTAAGAGTTATACTTTCTTCAAGTCTAAGTTGAATAAACAAAGCCAACAGGATATTTAATAAATACATCAAAATGAGTAAACCATATCAGAACACAGCTTTATGTATTTGTATATTCCATACTAACCAATAAGGAGAAGGGTTCCAACAGCTAAACCTCCACCTGGGAACAAAACAAAATGAAGAACAAAGTAAGACTACATTTTAATACTATGTTAGAGAACAATTAAGTTTTCTTAGTTTATAAGTCAAAGAAAGGTGATAACAGGGAATTTAAAAATGTAAATGTGAACAACATTTTAATTACCTTTGCAATACTTCCTACAATTCTCTATTATGAAATAATTACACATTACATGTAATTATATATTACACATTACAATTAGTTTCACAATATACTGTACTATCATCGTTGTGGTAAAAAGATCCTGCAGAGCTCTACACAACTACACTTAAGTACTGCAGTAATGATGCATGGTCTGAGACAGGGTGTTTTTTTTTTTAAAAAAAAAAAAAAAAAAAACCAAACTTGGATGACTCAAGTGAGAGATCATTTTTCAAATGAAATTCATATTAATCACTACCACTTGATGCTGTTTTGCACCAGGAACCCTATATGTAAAGTGACAGTATAAGAGGCTAATAAATTCCCACTAAAGCCAGTCAGGCAAAATCCTGACTCCACTGTTTATTTTACTACTGAAAACAAGCATGAAAATAAGGCAGGTAGGATTTTAGGCAGTGAAAGCTGGCCTGACGGTTCATGAATATCATAAGCGAGGAAAAAAGTCTTTTTAGTATTTCTCAGACAGATATTTCTCTATAAATCCAGTTGATGGAAATAGTTATTTAATAAGAATATATTTGACTGATTTAACCATGGCCATGGTCTAAGCAATCTTTATGTACCAAGCACAGAGAATTATTAGGGGGACTAGAATGATCGAAATATGTTTGATACAGATTCTTAACTCATTGATCTCAGGGTGGAGAACCTAAAACCACTACCAACAAAATAATAATAAAAAAAAGCTATGAACAGTAGTTCTTTGCTAAAACCTGACTTATCTGAAGAGAAAACAGGTACAACTACATAAAAGTACAAGTCAAATGGTCATAAATGACCACTAACCTAAGAGGGAATTTAACATAGAAGGTCAACAAAGAATCCATGTTCTACACTTCAGGTGAAGAGCAATCTATTTTGAAATCTGAATCCATGTTAGAAAACACTAGAATAACTTAAAATCAAACCACAAATATTTTATTGAACCAAGAAGGAAAATTCCCCCCAAGTTTAGGAAGAGCTCAGATGCATAAAGTACCTATGTACACTGCATAAAGTGCAGTGCTTTGCATGCAGAAAGCTACAGTATGTTTTCTGCAACTACATCCTCCTCTAAACGCAAGTTTGGAGCAAACAGTATCACAACATCCAAAGCTCTTGACAAAAGAGCTCAATTCTTGACTGCACAGGCAGATTCCAGAGAAAGGGGTAATTCGGTCTATCAATTTAAAAGCTCATTAAACTTCACTTGAAATTGATTCCAATAGTGATTGGATCAATTTCTTATTCTTTAGCTCTGCTGGTGGGATCATGAATATCTGTAGCACCTGTGAAGTTGATACACACCCAGAAGGACAAAAAAAACAAATCTCTCTCCCACAGGCCAAACAAATGTCAAAGGACTAACTACAGCAGCCTTCCTTTTGATCAAGTAGCAAATAATTCTGCATTCACCATTTATCTATGGGAACGCATTTTCAGCTCCTTAATGTCTAAATTGCTGAATTGCTACACACATTCTAATAAAAGTCACCAAATAAACTGCAATACAATTGCACAGAAAACGACACCAAAGTAATCTCTAAACAAAACGCATATTTTTCATTTTTATACCATAAATGACTGTAAATGTAACAAAAAAGATAAATTAAGAAAGCCACATGAAGTTAGAAACTGTTTACACAAATATAGGATGGGGCAAATTTCTAGTCATTTTTCATGTACTTTATGAGCATTTATTAGTGTTATTAGAGCAATCTAGATTAATAGCATAACAGGATCTGCTGCCTGACAGAAAAAGGTAAATGCTAGACCATGCATAACCAAGCCACACACAGAAAGCAGAGAACACTGAGCTCTAAAATTCATAGTGCAAATACTTTACTAAAGCTATTTTAGTAAAGATGTGACTTGCAAATCATACTGAATGATTAGCCAAACCAGAAGATGAATTGCAAAGTTACAGATCAACATGCAACATAAAATATTCTGGCTGGTAATCTCGTACTCTCTATTATTTTCTGTTAAGAAGGGGAAAAAAAAAAAAAATCAAGTCCCAGGCCAAAACCGTTCCGTGCAATGCTAGTCCATATAGACCAATTTGCATTGGTAAGGACAGATGGGGCACCAGCACGTCTGGAGCAATCACAGGGCTTCTATGAGAGCCACGAAAAGTGATAATACTGTTGCATCATGATGCCCGAGTTCAAAACACAACAGAATGACTTAGTCGTCATGTCATGATGCTAGCACAATTTTAGTAGCACATCACGACGCATATGTTTAGTCAGCAACTAAATTAATATTTGTATCTCAGTGCAAAACAGATCCCATAAACTAGAGCCCTGAGTCAAGATTCAAAATTCAGGAATATTTTTGGCAAACTTAAGTAATCAGGTGGTTCTTTAATACTTGAAAAATATGAATATTGTTTATTAGAAAACTAGAATCACTCAATCTCAATATTCTGAATACACCAACTTTTGTTTCATTTCGTATGTTCTGGGAAAAAAAATAATTAAATAAAAGGACAACAAAAAAAATCTTTTACTGGGAAGGAGGAAAACAAGACCAAAAATCAAAGATCATATAGATAGTAGACACAATGATGATTCAAATACGCGCTGCAATTGTTTGGGGGAGATGAAATGTATATGTTACTATCAGCAGTTGTTTAAAGCTAGCACGTGTTCTATGCAGAAAGTAGAAGAGCGTAAAATGATCTTACCAAAACACGGCTAGCTATAGAAAATATACTACTCCCTGCAATAATGATTTAAAATCTTTATGATAAGATTATCACCAGATAACAGTGTTTCATCCTTAAGTAGCTTATACAAGAAAGCATTTGTTTGACTAACAATCTCAATTCTGTCAAAATTCTAACAAGAATATTTTGATCAGAAAAAACCCTGCCTCTTTGTACAAGTCAGAGTTGTAGTGTATGTGCATATACCCTAGATGAAAAAGGTAAACTCAGGTCAGAGGACTGGCTGTACTGAGTAATGTAAACAAGTATATTTTATTAGATGAAAAGTAAAATTATTAGTTGCTATTGTTGCATCTTTTATAATCATAATAATAATTAAACAATAATAATGGTAAAATAGACAGGAAGTATATCACAGGGAAGAGGAAAGTCAGTAAGTCAGAAGGAACACTTAAAAACATCCAAGTTTTCTAAGGAAACCACTATGAACTTTGTTTTTCAATTTTTTATTTCAGCCTCTGTTTGCCAGCCAATAAACAGTCACAGATGTAAACAACTAAGCAAGATTCCTAACTCTGCTACTTTACAGCAATGCGATTCAAGACTTTACGAACAGAAACACAGTAAACGTAGACACCTGACAGAAGAGCCTGAAGTCGTAACACTACCTACTGCTTTCATAGCAAGCATTCAGAAAGACTGGACTGTTTCTGAGAATAGCAGTTCTTCACAGTATCGCACTCAAAATTTCTGCTTAGATCACCTCTGCATCACTCTACAGCACTTTTTACCACCACGGGAAGAGGAAACTATTGGAACTATCTGTTAGCCTGCAAAGGACAATGAGATTGTTCATCTAAGTTAAAAAAATAAGCCTTTAGATATTTTAAATACAAGGAACAATACTGATTCCTAGTACATGCTCACATACACAGTTTGCATCTTGAGAATTTTTAAAAAAGCATCTTTGTGACCTTTTTTAAACCTGCTTGCTATGGAAAAATCAATACTAAGCCTATGATGCTTTTATTACAGTTACAGCTTGCAAGATAGCTGCTTTAGCTCAAACCAGACATATGGCCCATAAGCCTTGAAACTAGAGTTGAATATAAAGCTCAGGGATGTAGAATGTCTCAGCAAAAGACAAGATATGAAATCAACCGCTTCTGCTTATTTTTGAAGAAATATGCTTCTATTAAGAGATAGCTAGCAGCACTAATCAGACTATTCAACAATTCAAAAGCAGTAGGTGAAAAAAAATCCTACACACAATTCTGTATTTTCCTCTCTACAAAGTCTCTCATTAGCTCTAACGACTTGATTTTTCCAATACCCGCAAATAATACTGTATCTTGGTTGTTGCTTCTGGACACAGTAAACTGAAAGCCAAGGCAAAACATGAGAGCTAGAAGATCATTCCTTGTATACCAGGGTAAAACAGGTCATATCAACTTCTAGCGCAAGTTTGTAAGAAAAGTATTTTCAGCCCTTGGTGACAGTAAAACACAGTACTTCATACTGCTAGAGAAAAAGGCAGGGGAAAAACAGCATTCTTAAAGAAACAAAGAAAACAGCATCCTGTAAGACATTTATGAAGCATTTCCATACACACCCTCCTTTTGTTCTCCCCCTCCCACCAAAAAAAAGACAAGACAACCACCTGGGGTAACATTTCTGTATTCAACAGCATATGGGCTGCATCAACAAGAGTGCTCACCTTCAGTCAGCACTTATTAGATCACAGCTAGTCTAATGAGTTTTGGCCTGCCACCACACAAGAAAGAAGAAAAACTTGTGCAAGTTCAGCAGTTCAGCTAATGGCCACAGAAATGGGGCTGAAGCACATGACCTAAGAGAAACAGCTGAAGCATCTGAGCTCATTTAGCCTAGGGAGGAGAGGATCAAGCAATGCTTAATACCAAACATTTGTGGTTCAGAGTACTGTATGTTGATGGCCTACCCACTCCAGCTCCAGAAATTAGTGGTTTAAGAAACAATAGGTTACTAAAGATTTAACACAAGAGAGTACAAAAAGGAAAGAAACAATTTATTTATTTATTTTTGTAAATGACTTCAAAAGTTGCTATTCTTATGTTTCAAGAAATTTCTGGATGATCAAGCTGAAAACTTGTCAGAACATTCAGAACAGAAAACTACTGAAAACACAAAATGCAAGGGAAAAGAATATTTTAGAAGGAATGCAGGATTTACTAAACGTTTTCCCCAATTTGCATTACTAATCACTAATTATGTTATTAAGACCAGGAAGATTTAGGGGACCATGTGGCACCATGGAGAGCTCTCCATATCCCCTGACCCATGAAGGGCAAAATCCCCAATTTATAAAACAAAACATGAGTAAGATCTGGAATATTCAGTCAAAATGCCATGTTTGTGCTGTCAAATGGTTTCATAAACTAAAAATACTTAATGAAATGCACCTTTCCTACAGAGGAAAGGTTTTCTCCATGAGCATGCCAATCCCTCAGAGATGTTCTCTCTTCCCTGTCAAGATAATACACACACACACACGAAAGTATAGAAGTTTGATTCTCTTTAACAGTCTCAGGCCATAAGCTCTTATTATTAGAATAAAGCTTTTTTTTATTTATTTATCATCACTCATAAATACAATCCTTAAAAAGAAGAATGTGATAGGACTAAACACCTTCATTTAGGGATAAATGATAACAGACAAAGTCAAACCAGCTTCTTCTAAACCTCAAGTCCCAAAAGTAAATGGGACTACCTCATACTACTAACATGGCACATACTAACTCTTGATATAGTCGCAGCAGCAGGTTCATGCAACCCCCACGCACACAGGCAAAGATTGCTGCTTATCTCAAGGAAGTGTCTGAGTTCCCAAATTAAACAGATGCTGGTATCTTACACCACAGAGTACAACACAGCAATGGCCACAATAAGTCAGCTCCAAGAACTCTCTTGCATTTTGGCACTGGCAAAAGCAGCTGCCCAGGCAGTAGGAACAGCGACACACCAGCATTATTCTATCTAAACTAGGCATTTATAACAACACTGCAGGGACAAGCAACACAGCAAAGTCAATGCTGAGCCTCCACCACTACATCTTGAGAGCAGCTACAGAAATGAAAACGTGCAGTGCTAGCACCAGCTATGAGTCAATTCGGGTGTAGTGCTGTTCGCAACAGAAAGTTTTATGCAGAGTCATTCCTTTCTGCAGCACCCTGAAGCAAGGTGAGCAGATGCCACTTCCTGACGGGATTTTTGCAGGACAAGCCTCTGCTCCTGAGGATCCAGTGCAGGGACCCTCCTGAGGGCACTGAGGGCACGGGGCAGCCCCATCCCGCTCCCTCCGCCCACCCCCCAGCAGCGAGGGCGGCCCGGGGCAGCCGCAGCGAGGGGACCCAGCAGTCGCTCCCGGCCCCGCACCAACCTAGTACGGAGTCCAGGGAGGGGAGCCCACTGGAGAGCAGCAGCTGCCCAGGGCACA